CAGGAATGTGCAGGAAAAAAAGCAGAAAAGGGCAGAAGAGATAGTAGGTCCTGGGCACCTCAGGTGTAAGAAGAAGATGCTGGGTCCTTGTAGGTGACAAGAAATGCCTAAGGAGATCAAGGGAAGGAAAGCAGGGATGGGAGGGAGATGGAGGGCAAGCTTCACCACAGCTTCTCTAGGATCACACTTTTAAAAAGGATCTAGAGAAAAGGACGGGGAAGGTGTGTAAAGCAGCATGGCAGAATGGGAAGGGCACCAGGCTGGGAGTCAGAAGACTTGTGTCTTAGTCTCACAGGCTGCTTTTTTGGCTGATAGGACCTTGGTGAGTTACTTCCCTGAAATCCATAGCTTCATTTATGAATTGGACAGAAATTTCCCACCCAACCTCACTGGGTTTTCGTGAGGATCAAATGATATAGATGGGACAAAGTGTTATAAACTTGAAAGTGTAGTACAAATGTGAGAGATTAATCTTCAGAGAAAACTTTACCTGGAGGTTTCCAGTTATTGAAGTGACCCCTGAAGAGTATGGTCAGAGAAACTCAGCACCTGAGAGGGGCCTTTCTGTTGGAAACACAGTTGACCCTTGAACAACATGGGTTTGTACTGTGTGAGTCCACTTATACCTGGATTTCAATAAATATACAAAAATATACGTGTGGAACATTGTGCACACTTGTATTGTGCTAGACTTGTATTGAAGCGGATAACCTATCCTTACATAGGCAAAGGGTGAGTAGTATTTAATGTAAAATTAATAATGTTTTAGTTTTCTTAGTGTTTTATAACTTTTCTTTCAGAGAATTACATTACCATACAGTATGCCTGTCTCTTGTAATTGGAGAAACTGCCTATCAGCCTGTCATCACAGGTAAGTGGTTTTTTAACAAAAGTAACAATGTTTCCAATACTGTATTATGAATGTGACTGTAATAGTGTATGCTGTAAAAATTTTATGACCATTCATAAGCGTATGTAGGCTAGGCTACCGTGAAGCAATTGTGTCAGTTACACGAGGCTACCATAAAGCCGTCATACTGCTGCTTCTTTACTATCAATGCGTGAATTGTTATACCTCTAAACAAATATGAATTTCTTTCTCACATTATAATTTTGGGGGGTCAGAAGTTATATGTGGATTTACTACAGGCGGGTGGTGGTGTCAGCACCCGTAACCCCCATGTTGTTTGTTCAAGGGTCAACTGTACCCTCATTGCCAGTTAGTTTGCTCAGGGGGATTCTAACTTGTCTGTAATAACTCTCTTTTCCTTCCCAGGCAAGTGTGGGAAGGATTGCTCTCTCCCTTCCAGATATATGAGAGAGGCCTGTTGTGAAGGTTTGGGACTTGAGAGGGTCAGGAATTTGAGCGGGTTAGACCCTGGAGGTTCCCTGGGGCCCTAAAGGATTAGTGCATTAGTTATGGGCCCAGATTCTGTTAAAGCCCTTATCTGTTTTGAAAACTCCATTGTGGATCATTTAGTCTTTATACAATTTTTCCTTAGTTCTTACGAAAAGGTAGAAGAAGTAGTGAAATGACTGAGCCAGTACCTGGGGTCTCCTGGGAGAGTACAGATGAGAAGGAGGTGGACTGGGTGTGCCCTGAGGGAGAGCCTAGCCTTGGTTGGATTTTTCTGAGCAGAGAAATAATAAAAATAACTAACATTTATTGAGCACTCACTTTGTGCTACTCTTCTAATGCTTCATGTATTTAACTCATTTACTCTTCATTAGAACCCAGTGAAGTAGGTTGTTTTGCAGAGAAGGAAATACAGGAGGTAAGAAATGAAGGCACTTGTTCTAATCACATAACCAGAAAAGGTGGAGTCAGGAATCATACCCAGTCGGCCAGAGTCCAAAGTGGTGCCTCGGAATGTGGTGTGAGGTAGCAGAAAGAAGCTGAGGCTTCCAATCAGAAGGCCTGGAGGTCATCACTCTTATGACCCTGAGAAAAAAGAGTGGTTTGTGGCCTGGAATCGTGGGAATTACCCAGCCTGCTTTGGTCAACCACCAAGACCTATCTCTGTGTTGAATTGGTGGGGCTGCCTCCCGGCATAATTAAATGTTCAGTCTAGGAGTAACTGAATACCGCCCTAATAGTTTTATTCCCCCATTTCCTCTCCAGTGTAAGACCTGTATGGGAAGGCGGGGAGAGAGAAAAAGTAGAAGGAGAAAAAAGGAGAGTAGGGGGTGGGTGGGAATGACATCAGGCAGGAATGTGCCAGTCAGCGGGGGTAAATTTTCCACTTGGATCTGTGTGGAAACCTGATCTTGCCTCTATTTTTGGTCTCCTTCTCTAACAACTTTTTGCCAGATTGGAATTTTTCTGCACCTGTAACACATTTTTAATGTAATAAGTCTAGGAGAAACCAGGTATTATATCATGCTGGGGCCTGTGCTGTGTTTCTAGGAGCAAAGGTAGCCCAGACTCCAATTTATCCCTATGGGGGATTAGTGTATTAGTCACCCTGTAAAAGCTCAATTTATTATGATTTTTTAAATGTTTCTTTTAGCACTTACTTATAAAAGGTGAAGAGGGGAACCACGAATGTGTCTGTGTTCCCTGCTCCCACCTACACACACGCGCACACACACACACCCTCACCCTCTATAAATTTCATATGAACCCAAATTCCATGAAATCAAATCCAGAGGTATTGGCTTTGACCAATTAGCTTACCTTTGCTACACTGGACTTTATCCTGGTCTGGGCCAGAGCAAGTAATAGAAAGGTGAGATTATTGTACTAGCCACCCCTCAGTGGAGAATGAAAGTACGTCAGCAGGCTGGTTACTTAGCTGTTTAGGGTGATCTGAGGGGTTACCGGGCCAAGGCTTCGGTTTGGCTTGTTTGTCTGAGATTGAGCCCTTTCTTCCCCATTACTCCAGATTGGCTGTCTTGTCGATATATGCCATTGGTTGTGTAGGTCTCAAGGTAGTTGTTTCTCCTCGCTTTGCCACCTAACTGGAGAGCTCTGTAGAACTCATCCCCATCACTGGATTTAAACGAAGGAAAAAGAAACAGCTTGAAGCCCATGTTTACATAAGAACACGTGAGGCAGTGTGGTGGCGTGGAGAGAGTGCTAGACTCAGGAGCACAAGGTATAGGTTTGTATCCTAGCTCTGCCATCCGGGTTAAGAGACTGGATCTCAGCTGCCTGATATTTGAAATTTGGTGGCTATTTAGTTCTCAGGTGACTCATCTTTTATTTCATCTCCCATCCCTCACTCATTAAAATCCTAACTCCTGCCTCCAAATGTGATCTAATATAGCAGAAAGAAGCCTGCTTCCAATCAGAAGATCTGAGTTCAACTTTCAGCTCTGCCATTTTCTAGCTGTGTGTCTAGGGGCAAATCCAAGTTTGGTCGGGCCTTAAGCTGATACAATTTTTTGTGCTTTTCTTAAGGAAAAGAATACAAAATTATGAATGTGAAGTTTTTAGGGCCTTGGAAGGGGCTTGTAGAAGTGACGAGCTGATTGATGCTTTTGAATCTTTCCTATGTGTGGAATACAAACAATGACATGCCTCCGGACCTCTTCATTCCATTACTGTGTATGTAAATGGCTCTTGATACATTTCACTAGAGCCTCAATAAGTGTGTTTGGAATTTTTATTAGGAAAATTGAAAAGACTACATACCTGGATGGTTATCAGTAAAATGTCTAAGGCTGTTGGCTCCTCAGGTGTTGAGAGAGACTTCCTCTGGCTTTGCAGCTTTGAGATCTGCATCCATTTGCCGTTAAAAAATGAATAGAGCATCTCCACCTCTCTGATGGTGACTATGAGGATGTTTCCATGCCGGTCTTTAATGGGTTCGTAGTAAACTCTTCCCAAATTGTGTGTCCCAAGTAAATTCTAGAAACAAACAGATTTCTGGTAGCTTAGATGATGTGCAAACAAAGCAACATAACTGCAGCAAAAGACACTGAATAATTATCTGATGTTTCTGAGAAGCTGTTTTTTTGGTGGTTGTTGTTGAGCAGACTTAAACCTATAATAGAATATGTAGCATCATACAAGTATACTTAACAGAAGCTCAGAGAGAATGTCTTCACCATAAGCCTGCAAAGATTATAGCAAGAGGCACAAAAATTATGTTTTTTTTTAAAGCAAATTTAATATCTGTAAATATCTTTTACCCACATAGACACACCAGCACATAAACCTCAGTTACCAGCACTTGAAGAGAATCCCAGATGTTTTAAAGAAAAATGCCTGATATTTCAGGTATGCTACTTGTGGAGTTTTCAAGAGATCTACAGTAAGCTGGTATGAAGTGGGGTTGTTTAAAATGAAGAAGTGAATTGACAATGTAGCACATTGTGCAGGTCCCCAAATGACTGCACATTCCCTTCAAGATACTTTAATTGGGAGATTGGCCTGGTTTGACTTATCTGCATTTCAGAGAGTTCTGTTTATTTAAAATTGTGTTAAAATTGTTTGTGAGCTAGGTCAGCAAGGTAGACAATACTTTTAGAAAGGTAAGAAGAGAAGGATGCCACATTAAATGTGAAGGGGCCCAGGTAGATGTTATTAAAATAAGCAGTTTTACAAATATGCAAGGTTTGAAGATTTCTAACTTAGAGCACTGGATGAATAGGATAAAATACCCTTTTACTTTGAATATCTATAGCTTTTTAAAATAATTAATCATCTCAGAGCTCCTGGCTGTTATTTTTGTGACCTCACATAAGTGCTGACAAGATAACCTGTTAGCAGGAGTGCAAAAATAGAGATGGAATTTGTGAAAGTGATAAGGATGACCTAAAAATGAATGAGCCAGCTGATCAGTATTCACATTTGCAAAAACAGTGGAATGTTCCTCATAGGTAGGGACTGTCTTTCTTTTTCTTTTCTTAATTTGCAAGGACAGAACACATAAATAAGAAATTTCATAAATAATTATTGACATTATAAAAATTCATTTGGAAGGATTACTGTTTTTAAAAATGGCCTAACTACTCAGTCAGATTATCCCTTTCTAACAATTAACTTCTAAATCATAGAGAAGTAATTGGATAAGGCTTTTAATCCAGCCCTGTGTAGTACTACAGTCTTATATAAAGCAGTTTGCTGCAAAGTAGTACTGGCCAATCAGCAATGGCATGCTGGTAAACTGGCCATCAAAAAAAAAAAAAAAAAAGGCTTGATATATAATATGCCAATTTCTGTGGTGTAAATGCTCCCACAGTACCCTATTTCAAGCTACCAAAGGTTGTGACAACAGGCTTTGAAAATCTCTGAATACTTAACTGTTGGCTCTCCTGAGTCAGTACAAGTTGGCTCCAGCACATTACTGCTGTTAAGCCTTTAGTTATCCTGGTGTTGAGTTACAGGTCTGGCTGCTGTTCATTAACACTTAGACTTCTCAAAAATGACTTACTCTTTCTGGCTCTGAGTTTCATCATCTAAAATTAAGAGTCCTTACAGCTCAGACATCCCTTATGCTAATCCTTACCTTATAGAATGATTGGTGGATTAAGTCAAGCAATGTATGAGAAAGTGTTTTGTAAACTTTCAAGCTTGATACAAGTAGGCAGGGTATGGGCTTTCTTTAGTGCTCCAACTGGAATTCCACCCTGGTTTATGCTTACTCATTTTCAATACTCAGCTCAGGTTTCACCTTCTCTGGGAGGAGTTTCTCAACTCTCTTAGGTAGAATTTATCATCTCCTTTTTTGTCCCCTACTGCTTCGTGTACCAACTTGTATCTTAGCATGACTCTGACTTTCCTGTGTATTGATGTACATGTCATGAAATCATGTTTTTTTCATCTCTGTTTCTCTGGGTTCCTTGCACAGTGCCTGGTACATAGTAATAGCTCAAGAAATTTTTGTTGACTGAAGTAACATCATTAGGACACTGGAAAATTTGATTTGCTTTGGATCAGAGTGGGTGAGTGGACATTGAATGAGATGGTCATTTCATTTAGGCAGAGTTTATTATCAGTGATTCACTGTTAGTTTTGGATATGTTGACTAATGTTGACTTCTCTAAACAAGAAGCACTAAAAGTCTTCCTGAAATTCTTTATTGATAGCAAACTGGGTTGGATAGCTAGCTCTGGGAAGAGCCCAATTTAAAAGAGGAAAATCTTTGTGAAAATAAGTTGCAACCACATTCTAAGGGGGCAAATTTGGGGTTCTTTAGTGCCTAAAGGAAAAACATACCATGTTAATACCTGTCATGCTATGCAATCAAGATTAGGAGATCTGGGAACTCTGAGGATTCTACAAGGTAAAGAGAAATAAAAGCCATCTGATGGCTCAC